AAACAAATGATTGCTCTTTTTTGTTTGTTTGTTTTTGTTTGTTTTGTCTTTTGAGACAGAGTCTCATGTAACCCCGACTGGCCTCCAATTCACTATGAAGTTCAGGCTGGCCTTAAACTCCTGATCCTCTTGCCTCTGCCTCCCAAGGGCTGGGGTCACTGGATTTGTGTTACTATACCCAGCAAATAAATGTTTTAATGCATTAAATGCAGGAGGTTTGTGGTTTCACTTTTGTTTTTCAGGATTGAAGCTAGGGCCTTTTTCTTAAGATAGACAGGAAATCTTAAGATAGACAGAGGTAGACCTCTATATCCCCAGCCCTTGGTGCAGTTTTTAAAGCAACAGATGACCAAAATACAAAATGGAAAATCTGAAAGCCAGCAGAGAGTGGTATCCCACATCTGTAATCTCAGTGCTTGGGTGGTAGAGGCACAAAGATTAGGAGCTCAAGGCCATCTTCCAAGTTGAGGCCTATCTGGCCTACCAGAGACCTTGACTCAAATAACAAGCAAACCAGACCCAAACAGAAACACTGGCATCCCCACAAGCACAAATCCCCAAAGACATCCATCACAGACATCCATCTCTAACTTAACAAGTGCTCATTTTGTTTTGTTTTTTCATCAGGCCCAGCATGTTAGCTCAGTGATAGAGCACCTGCCAGGCATATTCAAGACCCTGGTTCAACACCCAGCACAACTAAAGAAAAGGAAAACCTATCTTATCTCAGGCATCCTTCCTCTCTTGCTGCTTTATTATCTTACCACCTGGTACTTGTTTATTCCTGTGATGTACCAAGAAACTAAGGGTGGATGATTGTTTGTGGAAGGTGTATATGTCTGCCCTATGAAGAAGGAGTATTTTATCATGGGCATTGTCTGGAAGTATGGGGACTAGATAATAGTAAAAGGAACTACTAACAACAACAGAAATCCCCAAACTCCTCACTGCCTACTGCCCACATGGGTGGGGGATGGTGGTGGTGGCGGCAGCAGCAGCAGTAGTGGATCAATCCCTCTGCCCCCCTGCTTGGAGCACTTCTGGTTTGCATCCTTATCTGAAGACTCAGGAGTAAGGTCACCTCCACAGCTCCAAGCTGTCTGCATGCAACTGAACTCAAACCACACAACAGCAACATACTCTTTTCACTGTAGGTTGACAAAAAACCTGACCATTCCCTGCCTGCACAGACCCCATGAATGCAGCCATCCTTTAATGCATAGGCTAATTCTCAGAGTGTTGCTATAGTACCCAGTTCCAGGCTGACCCCCTGCTGTGTGGCTACTCTCTTTCCCCATCTGCCAGAGCACCCTTGTCTGTTTTCCATAGTGCTCAATACACTCCCTTATCTACCAGAACAAAAGGAATTCAACCTCAAGCTTTGTTTGAAGAATCACAGAGCTGGACCACATTTAAGCCAGTATCCAGATACAAGTAATGCTACTGCCTCCTGGTCACAAATTAGGTTGTGGCTGTCACTCTGCCAGCCACACTGAGTTTGCTAAAGAGTATTGTTTCCTTCTAAGCCACAAAGGAGGACCCTACAGGCCTTCTTCTACCATAAAGCACTGAGCTGCTCAGCTTTACTGTAGAGAATCCCAAAGCAAAGTCTGTTTGGGCATTTCAAATCTATCTACCAACAGAGAGGATCAGCCAGGCTTTGACCTTGTACTATTGCCAGTTGTCTAGAAAAAATGCATTTTAGAAGATCAATTACTTAAAATTCCAATGAAATCCATTATCCCTGATGGAGAGAAAGAGTCAAAGTGGACCAGAAAGCTTGGAACAGAAGTGTGGTTTGAATAAGAATGCCCCTCAAAGGGCTTGTAGATTCAAATACTTGGTCACTCTTGAGAGGGATTAAGAGGTATAGCCTTGTTGGAGGAAGTATGTCACTGGGAGTTTCAAAAGCTCATGCCAGGCCAAGATCTGCTGCCTGAAGATCAGGAAGTACAATCCCCAGCTCTTCTTCAGCAGCAGGTCTGCCTGTGCCATGCTTCCCACCCTGATGGCAATGCACTAAACCTCTTTTGAAGGTTGTTCTAGGGGCTAACTGAGGTAATAAATGTGAAGTATCTGATACAGTGTTTGGCGTATGGTTTGGGTGTAACCTGAGTGTGCTGCCTTCTCTGACCTTCCAGCAAGTGCTAGGTGAGAGGGGGGTTTCAGGAAAGACCTCTCCAGAGGGTGGAGTCAGGCCCTAAATGATCCAAAGAGGAAGTAGGAGGAGTGGTGAGTCTGTAGGCCCTACCACCACCCCTGGTCACTACAGGAGACTGGCAATGTAGCCAGAGGGTTGTGAGGGAAGACAATGTGATCACAGCCAGACAGGCCACTGTCAGAGGGAACTTGCAAAGCAGAGCAAATCTGCATTGTATTCAAGATGTGTTGAGAGCCAGATTCTGCAGTGTGAGTCTCTGTCATCCCTGTAACTCAGTCCTGCCCGAACAACTGAAGAATGTGTTTCCAAAAAAAAAAAAAAAAGTGTTTTAAAAAATAAGGGTAGGAGATGTATCTCAGTGACCCATGGTAGAGTCACTGAACTAGCTCCCACTAGCAAGGAAGTCCCAGAGGTCGTCCAGTGACTTCGGACCAGTTGGATAGTATCAGTGGTGACCCTGAAACAGCAGTTGTGGGGATTGGTGAAATCCTGGGTGGTAGAGGTTAAAAAGAGCAATAGAAATAGATTATCTAACTGTAGGGCTGGTTCAGTGGTTAAGAGCACTTATTCTTAGAAAAGACCTGGGTTTGACTCCCAGTCCCCACGTGGTAGCTCATGTTCATAACCCCAGATCCAGAGAATCCAGTGGCCCTCCTCTGTAGGCACCAGGCACAAATGTAGTACAAAGATATACATGTGAGCAAGACACTCATATACATAAAATAAATAAATTTTAAAAACAGAATTTAAAAAGTCCAACTGAGCTGGGCATGTTGGCATACACCTTTAATCCCAGCACTCAGGAGGCAGAGGCAGGCAGATCTCTGTGAGTTCGAGCCAGCTGGTCTACAAATCAAGTTCCAGGACAACCAGGACCCTTACACAGGGAAACCCTGTGTCAAAAAAAAAAAAAAATCAAACAACAACAACAACAACAACAAAGTCTAACTGTATCTGTCTGCTCAGCAGCCTAGGCAGGTCCCCAGAATAGGCAGATTACAGAACAGTTCATACTGACTTGGCTTTTGGAGGGTAGAAATCGGAGGTCAAACAACCAGATCAGTACCTACCCTGATGATCTGTGTCTAACTTACCACCTTTCCAGGTCTAGCCCACTCTGAAGTGCCAGGTGCTGGGCCTCTAACAGGAGTTTAAAGGTGGTGGTGGGGGAACAATTCAGTTCAAACAGTTATGCAATCCTTTTAAGATTATTTTAATTTGCCTCATGTGTGTGAGCACCATGGTGTGCCTGGTGCCCCCGAAGAGCAGAATAGGGTGTCAGATGACCTGGAACTGGTGTTAAAGACAGTTGAGAGAGGTTATGTGCTGGGAACTGAACCTGGGATCTCTGCAAGACCAGCATGTACTCTTAATCACCAAGCCCTCTTTCCAGTCCCAAGAAATCTTTTAAAAGAAACTTTGAGGCAGGCCTGGTGATATACACCTGTGTCCTTGGGAAGTAGAAGCAGGGGACCAAAGGCTGGGGGCCAATCTCAGCTACACAGTGAGTTAGAGAGGTCTGCCTAGGGATCTGAGACTCTGTCTCAAAAACAGAACAAAAGTGAAGAGAGAGAGAGAGAGAGAGAGAGAGAGAAAGAGAGAGAGAGAGAGAGAGAGAGAGAGAGAAAGAGAGAGAGAGAGAGGGAGAGGGAGAGGGAGAGGGAGAGGAGGAAATGCAGGAGAGGAGAGCACAGGACAACTAGAGGGGAGTGAGAGGCAGGGAAATTTTGGTTCCATCTCAGATTTCTGTTGGGGGATAATGACACCCAGGTATTACTGATGAGAAGGGTGTCACAGAGAAGTGAAACTGGCTAGAGGACAGGTGGGGTAATTGCAGTAGCAAAGCCTACCTGAGAAGGGATGGGATCAAGAGGTGTTAAATGACACACGTGTCACATAACCTGCTAGTCACCAGGGGGCCTACACTTGACCCCAGGAATTATCATTCTGCAGCTGTCGAGAGCCACCAAGCTGCATTTTAATCCTTTCCTTGAGAAGCACTAATCAGAATTCTCCCTCAGGATCCAGAGGAGGAAACCTGTTCATATATCAAGTGACAGCTGCTCTGGTGGCCTATATACTAGATGCTCAAGGCTCATGAGGTGAAGTAGGTCAGTGGGTTCACAGCAGGGGCGGAGGAAAAAATGGGCCTAGTTTGCCTGTTAGAAAGCAGGTCCAAAGATTGAGTATTTTGAAACTATGACCCAGCCTTGGCCTACTTGTTTGAACTGAGCATGCTCAACGTGATGGTGAACTTGGATGGTCTCCCTCAGATGTTTCAGAGGGTTACATCATTGGATTTCCATATGCAGATCACATCCTCTCTTGGTGCCAGAAATATGTGGCTTTGCAATGTTGCTTCTACAAACTCTCTTATCACAGCACTTGTGCGTTGCAGCCCAAATGTTAAACAAATCAATCAATAAATAGACCTTGGCTTCACATTTTGTACAGACCAATTGAATAGACAAAGTCTCCTAACTATTCCACAGTGTCCGTGTTGCCAAGTGACACCCTGCCAACACTTCCTCCTAGATACAGGCTAACCTGAAGAGACAGGTCAAACCTCTAGCCTCAGTCATGGCAATTTCCAGGCCTTGTCAAAGTTTCCTGAAGGCAAACCTAGATAGATATGACTGGGTACCTCCGGGACTGATCTAAGTTCACCCAGTGAAAACAGCTCCAGGTGCCATTCTGTGGGGTGCTGTGGTGGAATGAATAGACAAGGAATGGAGTGAGCATTCTTTAATATGAAAGGGATGGGTGCTGCACTTGGTGCTCACACAGTAGCATCTTGGTCTTTTTAAATCCCTCACCCATCTTCCCATGAGTGCTCCCTGCCAGTACCCTCGGAAGTGTTTGTTATGAAGACACCTACACCCCCTTCCTCTTCTGGAAACCACCTGGAGCAGCCACCCCAAAAGTATGTTTTGTAATGGTGCATTTTTGAATTTCTGTGGTTTCAGTTTCTATTTCTGTCACTGACTGTTGTAACTTTTTTATCTCCTTCTACTTTTTATGGGTAGTTTTGGGTTTCCGAGGCATTTGTACTCTGCCCATCATGTCAGCTACATAAAAGGTTGACAAAATTATGGCAAAATCCCACTGTCAACATTGACCCCAGGAAATGTCTATGAAAGTCCAAAACTCAAGCTGGGTATGCTGGCATATGTCTGTAATCCCTATATTTGGGAAGGTGAGACCAGAGGATCTCATTTGAGTTTCTAAACAGTGAATTCCAGGCCAGGCTGAGCTGCACAGTATGACATTAGACCTTGATTCAGAAAACAGTAAGAGTATAATAAAATGCCGCACCTCTGGGAGTTATAGAAGGTTTGACCTTGTATTGATTGGCCAGCTGCAATTCTCTCCAAACATTTGACTTCGCCAAGAGAGTTTCCCTTGTCTGAAATGTTGACCCATGATGCAATGCAATGAGCAAAATGACAGTCTCCACTGTTTCTTCATTAGAGACCTCTTCTTTGTATCAGTCCTGGTTCTCTGCTGCTGATGACAGTCACCACCATATTCTTTCCAGTTTTATTTTGTCTCGGAACTTCTCCTAAGATTCATTCAAAAATCAAAACATTTATTGATGATTTACAGGTTCCAATGTATTTATCTACAGTTTTTTATTGAATGGAATCAGTGTACAGGTCAGAAAATAGTGTCTTTAGGTGAGCAAGTAACAGAACTTCTACAAAGAAAACAGGTGATATGTGTGCTAGTTCAGGATTCTTTTCATATCACAAGACTTGCTACAATGGAAGCTGGGAGAATAGTGTAATGTAAAGTAGATGTAATGCCTGCCTAGCATGGAGGAGGCCCTGGGTTTTATCCCAAGCAGTCCCTAAGTGGGGTGTGGTGGCTGACACCTGTAATACTAGTGTTCAGAAGGCAAAAATAAATAAATAAATAAATCAGAAAGTCAAGGTTTCCTTTGGCTACATAGCAAGTTCCAGGCCAGCCTGGAATACATGAGACCCTTTTCCAAAACAGAGACAAGCAAACAAACCCTCCCCATCATATGGCTATGATTCAGTAGCTTCAGGTGTATCAGAATCTTCTGGAAGGTCTGTTACCACAAAGATAGTTGGTATTCACAACCCTCAACATTTCTGATTCAGTGGCTTTAAGGCTTTAAGTGAAAATGTTCTCATTCACATTCTTTGCTTTCTCCCTTGCCTCCCCCTTCTCAGCTTCCCTTGCAGCTAGGGAGGTCATCTAAGCTAGTTCTGGTCAATGAGGTGTCAGAACTTTTCAGGGAAACCCTGTGCTGGATTAGTGTTGGAAATGTAGCTCAATTGTCTAGCATGTGCAAGATCCTGAACACTAAAACAGAAAAGGAAGGAAGTCAGGGCTAACACTGATCTAGGCTGGGTCTTTTCAGGTTCTTGGCCTCTTATTCAAAGGTTCACACAGATTTGCAAAGTAGCAAGGGGATTTTATTCAAAGAGAAATGTCAGGAGTAATGGTGGGACATGTAAGTGAAACAACTCAAAAGCACCAGCTTATTGCCTGGTGCCATTTTTAATTTTTTTTATTTATCCCAGAGGTGGGAACACACCTGACTGGCATCATAAAGGAATCTTAGAATCAATGTGGCAAGAGCTGAGTGAGCAAAGAAGATTGAGTTGGATAGGTGGGAGGGGTTATGAAGACCACCTGACAGCCAGGAAATAGTCAAAACAAACAAAACATTCTGGAAGGTTCTTTGTGGTGGTGAAACATGATCTGCCTCATTTTCAAGAGATTGAACTAGGCCATATAGATAATAGAAGGGCTAAGAGAGAAAGGAGGATGACCACTGGGATGAGACTGCCATGGCAGGTGGCCACTGACAGTGAGACTTACAATGAAAGTGGGGAAATTGGTTGAACTCAGATCTATTTAGTAGGACTTTCTGGTGACAGAGTCAGGGATGACTGCATCCCTAGTATTCAGGGTTCCAACTGGTCTATAGATTGAGTTCCAAGACAGCCAGGGCTACACAGAGAAACCCTGCCTTAAAAATTAAAATAGTTAAAAAAAATTTGAAGCTGGTCATGGTGATGTGTGCTTATAATTCAAATTGGGAGTTGGAAGGTGGAGGCAGGAGGATTAGGAATTCAAGGTTAGGCTGGGCCACATAAGACCCTGTCTTAAAACAAAACAAAACAAAAGACTTTAACTTTTATGTGAAGGTCATACGTGATGCTTAATTTTCATTGTCAACTTAAATGGATTTTAAAATCACCTGGGAACACACTTGAGGGTATTTCCAGAGAAGTTAGCTGAGTAGTGAAGACCAGAAGGTGGGCAGTAGCATTCCATGGACTGGGGTCTGGAGAAATAAAACGGAGAAACTGAATGGAGCATGAGAATCCATCTTTCCTGCTCCTAATTCTGGACCCAACAGGAACAGCTGCCTCACAGTGCCCTGCCACCACGGCTAGAGCCACTCTGACCACACCTTCCTGACCATCATGGATTCCACCTCCAACATACCAGAACAAAGCCTTTCTTCTTTCAGTTGCCTTTGTGAGGTATTTAATCACAGCAGTTGGGATTCCTGTTGGATAGTCAAGAGGAGATTTGGCATCAGAAGCTGGAGTCTTGGAGTGGCAGGGTTAGGGGGTCCAGGTTGGCAGTAGAAACTGGGATGGAGTGGAATCATTCAAAGCCCTGGGTTAGATGAGCTGTTGCCTAGGGGATTAAAGGAATTGAGAAGACATATTTGGACTGAGCCCAGGAGCCCTCAGAACCTTTGGAAATGGGGAGATGGGAGTGGGTCTGTGAGGGAGAACATTGGAGGAGAGGGCAGATGATTCCCCTGCAGCCACCTTGCATTTTTAGGGTCACTTCTCAGGAAGAGAAGGAGGAGGAAAAGCATGAGGGAAAAACTTCTAAGTTATGAAAAATATTTGTACCAACAAACAAATACTCTAACATTGAAATTCAGACCAAGAAAGACGTCAGGATTAAGACAAAGGCTAGGAATTTTATGACGGGAAAGAGCACAAATGAAGGTGAAAAATACTAAGACCCTAACAGGAAACAGACCAAGGATATGAATAGACAGTTCACAAAGAAGGAAATAAAATTAGTAAATAAAGATTAAGAAAATGTTTGACATCATCAACCAAGAAAGAAATACAGATTAAAACTATAAGATGATATGTTTTCAACTATCAAATGAACAAAAAGCTATTCATGCCATTTTACCCAGTAATTCCAGTTCAGGGAAATCTAAGAAACTAAGCTAAAATGTGGATGAAAAATTGACCACAATTTTATCTACAATAATAGAAAATAATTCAAATGCTAACACTGAGAGACTAGCTTAGAAAATTGTGACATAGCCATACTCTTAGTTGTGGTGATTTGAATGCAAATGGTGCCCCCATATATTTAAGTACTTAGTCATCAGGGAGTGGCACTATTTGAGAAGGATTAAAAGGATTGGAAGGTGTGGCTTTGTTGGAGGAGCTGTGTCTCTGGGGATGGGCTTTGAGGGTTCAAAAGCCCATGCCAGGCCCAGCTTTTCTCTCTCTCTCTCTACTGGCCTGCCTGCCTTCAGATCAGGATATAAACTCTAAGCTACTGCTCCAGGACCATGTATGTTGCCATGCTCACCACCAAGATGGACTAAGTCAGTGAAACTGTAAGCCAGCTCTCAATTAAATGTTTTCCTTTATAAGAGTTGCCTTGCTGGGCAGTCCCAGAACTCAGGAGGCAGAGGCAGAGGCAGAGGCAGAGGCAGAGGCAGAGGCAGAGGCAGAGGCAGAGGCAGAGGCAGAGGCAGAGGCAGAGGCAGAGGCAGAGGCAGAGGCAGAGGCAGAGGCAGAGGCAGGCAGATCTCTGTGAGTTCGAGACCAGCCTGGTCTACAAGAGCTAGTTCCAGGACAGCCTCCAAAGCCACAGAGAAACCCTGTCTTGAAAAAAAACAAAGAAAAAAAAAAGTTGCCTCAGCCATAGTGTCACTTCATAGCAGTAGAACATCGACTTAAGACATTATTAAACTACAGAGATGTATAAAATATCTAGGAAGAATTTATAGTAATGAGAAAATGAATATATTGCATTAATTTGTCAGAAGGATTAGGGACTGTGTAGATGGCTCAGGTGCTAAGTACCTGTCACAAAAGTGTAAGCACCCCAGTTTGTTCTCTAGAGCCCACATAGAACAAAAAAGCCAGGAGGATCTGGGGCTTGCTGGCCAGTCAGTCTAGCTGAATTGTGAGCCCTGGGTTCAGTGAGAGGCACTGTCCCAAAAAATATGGTAGAGAATGACTAAAGACACCTGACATTGAACCTCCACTCTGATGGGTGCATGTGTATATCCAGACTGCATGTGTATATGCATACATCAAGCAAGATTAAACTATATACTGTATCACGTATTTCACTTATGGAAGCCTGTGGTGAAGGGAAAGCCAGCTATGCATTCACCCATAGTCACGCAGAAAGACATTCTTTTCTGCGGGGCCCCTTTTAGAGCCTTGCATTAAGTATTGGGAATACAATGATAATTCAGAAAGTTCTGCTGTGTGTCTAACTGAAATTTGAAAACTGATCTGACTATAGTCTTCTAACCCTGAGCATGCTGATCTCATCTGAAAAACTGGTCTTCAGAAGTAAATAATAAAGTCTAAAAGATGTAAATATAACTAGTATCTAAAAACAGCACAGCAAAATTAATCTCAGCTTAAGGTGGTAACTTACTGCACAGCTGGGCCTCCCATATCCCTGCTCATGTCTATACCCTTGGGTCAGAATGCTGATGGGGGTGGGGGTGGGACTGTAGCATGGACTTAGCTGGTAGCTGGGTTCTTAGAAACCCCCCTGTAGGAGTGAAGGTGGCCCTGGCCCTAAAGGGCAGGAAATCAAGGCTGGGGATGTAGGTCCATGGTATAGTAATTACAAGACATGTTTGAGTAAGGCACTATGCCACTGTTGTATTGCTGTGAACAGACACCGTGACCAAGGCAACTCTTATAAAAGAAAGCATTTGACTGGGGGGCTGGCTTACAGTTTTAGAGGGTTAGTCCATGGTCACCATGGTGGGGAAACAGACAGGCATGGCACTGGAGCAGTGGCTGTGAAATTTAAATCCTGATCTGCAAGCAGCAGGTAGAGAGAGAAAGACTGGGCCTTTTACAGGCTTTTGAAACCTCAAAACCCATCCCTAGCAACACACTTACTCCAGCAAGGGCACATTTCCTCATCCTTCCCAATTAGTTCATGGAGACTAAGTGGTCTATGGGGGCCACTCTCATTCAAACCACCACAAAGACCCTGAATCAATACGGAGTGCCAGAGAAGTGGAGGGAGAAAGGTAGGAAAGAAGGGAGAAAGGAGGGAGAGAGAGGGAAAGAAAGAAAAGTAGAGGTTGAGGCTAATAGAGCCATAGGGTGAGGCTGATATTCCCTCATGCTTTTGGTCTTTGTCTTCCTCCTGAAAGGATTTGGTGGTGCCATGCCCCTGCTCAGCTTGTGGTCAGAGCCGCCACAGACACATTGACCTGGAGGAAGTCGTCCTGCCCACCTCTGTGACAAAGACTAGCTTGGAAGTGCCTGCTTCTGTGTCAGGCTCAGCGTGATAGGCAAACTATGCCCAGGCTGCTCACAACAGAAGAAAAAGCCCACTTTATATCTCCAGAGTCCCTTGCATAGATTTCACATAGTCATGTGTCATAGGCACCTCAGCCTTTTGTCCCGGGTTTCTGAGACCTAAAAACATGCCTAACATGTTTGTTTTGGTCATCCATGGACTGCAAATATAATGAGGGTGAGGAATTTTATTGCCTAGTGATTTCATAAGGTAGTGATTACTCACATTTGCAGTGATCCCAGAGTAAGCAAACACACTCTGCTGCCCATAATGTAAAGGTCTAGCAAGCTGCTGTGTAGCTGCTCAGTGGCAGCACACTCGCCTACAAGTGTAAGGCCCTGGGTCTAATCTCCAACACTAAGAAAAAGAAAAAAGAGAGACACAATTATACAACTATATTCAGTACATGATACTTGCAATAAACAAACATATTGTAGGTTGATGGGGGAAGTACTTCTGTGTATGTTTGTCTTATTGGATGATAAATAAAGTACTGTTTGGCCAATGAGGCAGCAAATTAGGCGGGACTAGGAGTCAAGGAGGATTCTGGGAAATGTAGTAAAGAAGTGGTGACCCAGGCAGGAAGTGACCTAGCAGGGAGACTCAGATATAAGCAAGGGCAAGAAGGAAGTTGTTCTTTTCGCTCTTCCTCCTGCTCTCTGCTCTGCAGTGGAAGGGTCCTCCATTGGATAAGTCTTATGATTATGGATGATAATTAAGACTGAGCTAGCAAGAAAGAAATCCTAGGGATTGGCCAGAAGCATTGTACCTAATATAAGTCTCTGTGTGTTACTTGGGACCTTAACGTAACAGTGGGTGGAATTTGGGCGGCCTGGCAGAAAGCGCCCATGTGGCGGCAGGGTTTGGGCCGTTGGAGTAAAGACTTACTGTTATAGTTGGTTTATGAATTAACTATAGTACACTTTTCATCATTACTCTAGAGTATATGTCTAATTAAAAGAAAAGTTTAGTATATGCACAGCTGGGCATGATAGTGCCTAATGCCAGAGTTCAGGAGGTGGAGGCAGGAGGAATGCCACATATTCAAGGCCAGCCAAGTCCCAGCCACTACATAGCAAGACCTAGTCTAAAAAACAAACAAACAAACAAAAAGCCCAGAGCTGGTGAAATGTCTCTCAAGCCTGATGACACAAGTTCTGTCACCAAATCCTACATGATGGGAGAATAGATTTTAAAACCCTTGCCCTCTGACCTTACATGCATACTGTCTGCCTTTCAAACAGCAGCTTTTCAGGAAAGTGTTCTCCATAGCATAATCACAGCTATTATTTTTCAGATCTAGTGTCTGAAATAGTGGCAGTTTGATAGGGGACAGAGGCACGTGTGGCCACACGCACAGTCACACACATACATACACAGAAACGAATAGCTTTTAAAAAGTTTCTAAACTTGATTTAAAAACAAAACAAAACAAACAAAAATGTATGGTGGTACATGCTTTTGATCCCAGCACTCACACTCAGGAGGCAGAAGCAGGAGGCTCTCTGTGAGTTTGAAGCCAGCCTGATATACATAGCAAGGCCCAGGCCAGCCAGGAACACTCTGCCTCAAGAACCAAAACAGAACCCCAAACCATAAACAAACAGACAAAACCCCTACACACTGTTTTATGACAGCAGTAGCTTCATAGGTCCAGTGTTTATTGTGTCTGTTGGTTGTATGGAGACCTAGATGGATGATGCAGTGCCATCTCGCCTTGAGTACACGTGCTCCTGCATTCTGTGACATTCTCATAAAGATGAAAATTACTTAGGATGCACTTCACAGGTCCCAGGTCCATTCTTATCGGTCAGTGCGTGACTCTGTTTTTAAGAATTCTGACTCATCAGTTAAAGAATAGCTCAGTTGCTTAAGAGACAGCCAGCCAGCCGTATTATTTGTTTTCTGGTGGTGTGTTCTTCCCTCCCTACCAAATTGTTGCTACTTCACTGATGCTAGACCAAAAGAAGAAGGTTCCAATGTGCAAGAAGAACGCCCTCTTGGAAGCTGATTCTGAGAACTTGGTCTTTAAGCTGAGTCTGGGTGTTGGGGATGCAGCTCAGTTGGTAGATGGCTCACC